AACCCTCTGGGGGAAGACGGTTATGTATGGTTTGATTCCTCGGTACCCAAATGAGCCAAATAGCGGTGGGTTCCAGGGTTCTAAGTAACGCAACAGAAATCCTCACCGAAAATTGTGAAGTTAGCATCTATGAAAGACCTCTCGAAACATGCAGGAAAGAGTCTTTGTGTTTTGTTACGATTGTTAGAATTTTATGCAATCATTACATAGGTTTAGCGTTACTTAAAAATGTTACTGTCTGTTTACAATCTTGGTTTCAAAAACGCAGTAGTTAGTGTCACAGAAAATTTGTTTTGCATCGTTTGAAACATATTAACCTATGAGAAAGTGTAAGAAGGTAACAAAACCATAAAATCTTGCATTACACGTAACGCCATATCATAAACTTGCATATGATGACCGAGCTCTTCCTCAATTTATATCACATTTACTTTCGTCATGGATGTCTTTTGTGTCACTGTTTGAAAGCCCTTGCAAAATTACTGTAAACTCTTTATAATACTACTCCTACATATAGTCAATACATAACGCATATCAAACAACTGGTTAACTTCTATTTTTATCAATTCGAAGGAAAGTATTTAATTTTAGATGAATTTCGCCAAAAATGAATAAATAAAATAAAAATACATAAAACCCTCTTTATTGACAAAAAAAAAATTAAAAGAACACAACTTACAAATCGTATTACTGAAAAAAAAAGATAAAAATGCTTGACCAAAAGGAGAAGGCTCAGCTGATGCGGCCTCCAGCTTGTCACTGAAGGCCGCGCTGGTTTTCAGCCTACCCTAAACTACTATCAATACCTAATTATTACCTTAAATTTACGTTAAGTTTAGCAAATTATTTCATCGTTCAATTACATGATCGGTATTACTTAAATTAATGAAATAAAGCGTAACGTTAATCATTCTCTTGCTTAATCTGGTTACAAGATTTGCTCGATTTTTTATGTAGGTGAATGTCGATTCGAGTCTCAATTATGTAAAGAGAGTAGCAATTTTCTGTGGTTTCGTCCGCGTGGGGCATGAATTTTCGAAAAAACTAAAGATGTACACTTCTCATCCTTCTGTTTAGATCTTTTTTAAAAACTTGCCCAATTGTTACAGGAAACAATGTGCTATTAGTGGCTAGTTCCAGTAGTTTGGGCTATTAGACTACTGTGTAGACTAAACTGTCATTACTCGGATTCTTTTTTCTCTGAACGCTTGCTTAGAATTAGTTAAAACTAATTTCCTTTGACACAAAAATGTTTAATTGAACAAAACATACGCAAATGGATAAAGTAGCCTGAATGTGTTATTCTTAGATGAACTTGTTTTTAATTTATTTTAATATGCCTACAAATAATTGCAAATAGAATTTTATTGAGTTGCTTCTTTACTTTCGACGCTTATAAGTAAAATATTACAAAATTGTAACATATGATGTTATCTACGTCTACGTGCTCTCGACGCGCATATATATTTTTCGAATTTAACACTCGTGTTTATAAATGTTTTAAATTATCTTGTCATTAAAGCACGTCTCTACCTTTATCTATTATAATCATCTTTTTACAAAAAAACAATTAAATATAACATGTCTTATATTCGTTTTTACAATTGCTGACATCTTAGGTAACAAAGAAGTGTGTGTTTACGGTTTATTATATAGATATAAATGACAAATTTTTATTAAGGGATTTCGTTGTGACCAATTAATATTCTTTATTCGCGTTGTTGCAACATTGTTTATAATAGGACAATTAATCGATAGTTTTTTTATCGCGCTACTAGGAAATGAATATTAATATCCTGTCAAGTCACGTTTGCGAGGAATACCGCTTTAAAATCCAATAAGTGTCAACATTTTTACATTTAGCATACTTTTATTAAGTTAGAAGATATTAATTGTAAATTTGTTAAAGACTAATCACGCATTTGAATTCTAATAACATCTATCTAAGTCCTAACCTATAAATTTAGTAATAGTGATAATGTAATACCTACTAATTGTAGTTTTACGATACGATACATCACAGGCCCTAAATCGAAAGGGATTAAGTTAAGAAAGAGTATACAGTAGTACTAGTGATGGAAAAAATAAAAAAGAAGATATGCAAAACACTAGTTTGGTACCTTTACTGCATTGATACTGTGGAGACCCTCCATAGGGGAAAGGACGGAATAATGAAAAAGTAATGATAAATGATGATGACGATAAATGATGTATGGATGATTGTATTTATTAGCCATATACTTGAGATGTTCTCTAAGGCCAACTTAATCTAGATTAGTCCATTCGTGTTACACTATTTCATGTTCGCGCTTTCGACACGCAGACAAAACGAAATATCGAACTTTAACTATGCCAAGGTTCAACTTTACGCTAAAAATGGATGTCAATGATACGCAAATTGTATCTTGTGGATAATCTTTATGAAACACGAAGATGTTCAAATGTAAACTAGTTGTAGAGCGGACATTACGGCCTTTCTTTCAAATATTTCATGCATCGTTAGTAATTCTATTTTTTCCATAATGTTCCGTCTATTGATGTAAGTTAAGTCTTTTATCGGAAAATACTATATTGCATGTTTTAGATGAATCATATTTTAATGGACTATTGGCAGAACCATCTGCAGTTTAATCATACCATTGTTCCACAAATGAGTAATTGGGTTTCTTTGTTAGTCTACTATTAATGTTTTTATAGCGTGTTATAAAATTATAATAGGTGATATAAATGACATTTTTGTAATTGTTATTGTAATTTTTTATGTTGTTATGAATGCGATGTGTTTGATTTTAATATAAATGTATAGTGAGGTCGAGTTAGAAGGTCTTCCTTTGTATTTTAAATTAACTAAACGTTTTATATTCAGTTTTTTTGTGTTAAGCATGTTATATCTACTTATATAAGTTTTTTTTTTATAATTTCTAAAGTTTCTGAACTAAACCGACCAAAAGATTAACAATAATAGTTTAGTATTCTATTATTTCAAACGAAGGTAAACTAAATACAAAAGCCGTACGTCGTAGCCCTTTTCCGGTCTATTGTAAATGCACGAGGAAAGTTCGTTCGCTAGGTCAATGTTAAACAAGTTATTGTTTGATTCTTCACATGTCTGTGTACCTTATAACTTCATACATAAACATTTCTAGGGGATAAACTATCCTAGATTTGTAGCGTACACTATAAACACTAGAAAATTAAGCTCTGTTTATTACTAAACGCCTCTTTTTTTTCCAAAGAATATAAAAGGTCATAGAGGTCAAAAGGGACTGTCAAGTGAAACTAATTACTTCGAAGTCAATAAGCAAATTAACGGTTTAGTTTGTTTTTAAAAGGAATTCCAACTGTATAATTTTTTTATGTTGAAATTTTTATCGTTTAGTAAATTAGAATGATTATATAATTTATTTGTAATTCAAGCTCACTGTGTTTCATGTTGTAATAAAGTTTTTCGTCGAAATTATTCAAATTAGCTAATGGGATCGTACTGGTTTTAATTTGAACTAGTTTTAGGATCAATTGCAAAAATAATTTCAACTGCCGCGGTTATCTTACTTATTCTAAGTACGTATGTGGTAATAGAAAACTACCCGCATTCACTTAGTGTAATAATTATTTAATATGTTTTAATTTTCATGTAATCGTAATGAATTTTTGCATTCAAGAATTTACAGATAAAATATTGATTTTAATATATTAGTAGGTATGTCAAAAAATAATAGTAGTAACACGGTACGTTAGAAGTAAATAGAAAAATCCAAACATAAAAAACAGTAACTAAAAGTCGTCAACTGCTTCGGAGGTGGTAAGAGGTTAATTGAAATCTTTAACAATAAAATTGCGTACAAAGCAAGCAACAATTAATAAAAAAATCCATAGCCATTAAGAAATCAAATGGCGTGTCGAACCGGAAGAACATAATTAGTGTTTTTAACCCTCGGCCAGTTGATCTCAACAAAAAGTAATTACATAAATAATATAAGATGTTGAGTCACTACCGGTAACCGAAATGTCTTTTATGTGCAAAAAATAAGTTATTGAAAATTTTCATTCTTGTAGGCGTTAGTTACTTAACCGTTTTAAATAACAGTGAAGATTTCTTTATGTGGTAATTAACTTTGGTAATTTCTTCTGTTGATAATTTATCTTGATGTTTCTGGTGTCTAATCGCTTTTCTAACCTAATTCGACAAGTCTTTGGCCTTTTTTATTTATGTACCTAAACATTTCTCTAAACGATACTTTCATAAAAATCTCTAGATTTGCATTTATTGTAGGAATCTCCATATAACGCATAGCGTATGTATATACGTTAGGCGTAAACAATGTTATTTCTATTGCATTTTGACCTTATCATACTAATTCATGATAATATTATAAATGTTGTTTAGATGGATAGATGGATGTTTGTTACAGATTGTAGCCTAAACGGTTGAACGGATTTCGATGAAATTTGGTATAGATGTAGAGTATAGTGTAGAAGAACACATAGGCTACTCACTTGTTTTTTAATTTCACGCGGACGTAGTCGCGGGCGACAGCTAGTAATTAATAAATTAGTAAATAAAATTAGTTGATAGGTATTAGGAGGTACTACAGAGGAAGTACTAGTATCTATTTTAGTTTAGAGCAATAAAGACCGTGTAAGAAAAATAGTCAATCAGTTCAAACTTGTTTTTGTTTTATCAGTTGTTCCCAACATTGTTATGATTGGTCTCATTTAGATGCGAGTGTTTATCAAATATTGTGCCAAACATCGACAGTTTGCAACGTTCTCACTGAGTTACTAAGTTGCCAAATGTATACCCACTTATGCAACTTAAATGTTGCGTTACGTATAATAAAAGTCTGCTCGAGAAGATTTAATATTTCTCAACTCTATTCGGAAATTGCTAACCGAAATAAATGTTAGGTAAACTGACTTCATTATAACTTTACCCGCAAAATGTTGTTATTGTAATGCAATTGTTATGATGTTATTTAAAAAAATAAAGGAGTACTCACGCTCAGGTGTAACCTCACGCAAAACGATTCTGGTCTGCGGTTCCTGTTGGGCCGGCATTGTGGAGGGTTCACTGTATGTTATTGAACTTTACGAAAAAATGCACACGTAAACAATTGTCCGATAAAAGTATGTTGTTAGTGTACTGTGATTTACTGTATACCAGTTAGAAAAAGATTTTTAATTATAGTTTATCTCATTTTTCACGCACAAACAGTTTGTTGTTGTTTTAATCGAGCGAACGACCTCCCCCTCTGAATGTTCACGCGAGACTGATTGTGAACAGTGAGTTTGTGAGCTGTGAGTGACTGACTTACTTCTAGTATAGCTCACTAAGACACGGCAGAGTATTTTGTAATATACTGATCAGCAGTGACCAGTGAGTAAGTATTTAGTCTCAGCCAGTCTCAGCTCGCAGCACAGTACCTATTTTTTTTAAAAACAACGCAGTACGCAGTGTTTGTGTGCGATGCGTAAACCCCTGGTCCGACACATTGTAGACGAGTTTAAAATTGCTTGGGATGATAAAGTGCAATTTAAGGCTCAAAATGGTTTAAATATGTGTGTTTAATTTTCTAACAGTTTTCTTAAAAATTCTAACTGTTTCATTTCAAAGTTTTGAATACTGCCATCTAGCGGCGAATAGTAAAATTGAATATATTGAAAAATATACTGTCATTTTAGTTCTTGAATTTGCCACAAGATGGCACTGATATTGCTTAAAAAGCAAAATACGCAATCAAGACCGAGACCCAAAAGACGGAACTAAACAGAATTTAACAAATTATCGTTTAGCGCCGTCCTGACACCCGTCACTCGCTTCCTCTACGTTTATACAAGTACGGCTGTTTCGGGTGCTCTTTATCGCCATTCTTGAGTGTTTTAACAATTTGGATAGTATAAGTCCGTTTTTCACAACTCCCACCAACACTGACAAATCAACCTCATTTAAACCACATTCTTCTCTTACAGCACTATTTCTAATTCATTTACACTTACTTCTATTACCCCTTATCATCCTAACGATCGCATTTCCTATGCATTAATATTCTCAGTTCGTTGTGATAGAAAACTTCTGTAGGTAATTAGTTCCATTTAGGTCACATGGAAATAAATAATATATAACAGTTATTATTTAATTTTATACGTAGGTATATTTTACGCAGCTTTAATTTATTTTGCAGCAATTTTGACATTGGGCCTTTAGTGAGATCAAGGTTGTTGCCTTTCAAAAGTGGTTTTAAAGGAAACAGTAAATGCATTTATTAATTATAAAATTTTATAGTAAGTATAAGTGAACAAATTTTTTTTGTTTGTAATTAACAATAAAGATGTAACAAGAATATATTAATTAAAAACCGTATTCACTTTTGAAAGATGTTTTTCATTTTTTTTTCTTGATCCAAAAATAAAAATTTTGAGATTTTATGGCCGTTAAAAATTAAAAGATTCCATAACTCTATTTTATATAAGGAATCAGATGAAACGTAAGAATCACTACATAAATATATTTGATATGTTGTTTGGATTCCATGGCAGGATGTGAGATACGACGTATCTCTAGAATAGCAGTGGTAGTGCCCGCCTTAACATCTTAGCACTGCAGGGCCGGCACGCCCGGTAAAATACCACGACCACACAGAAGACAGGCGTGAACACATTTCCTGTGTCGTCTGATGAATGTGGTACCGGAGGCCTAATTTAAGTCCCTTTCCCTTTTCTTATAAGGATATGATGGGAAGAGGAAGTGGATTTGATGTGAGGTGCATAGGAAGGAGAAGTATTCTCTTTATGTGCGTCTCCTCCTCCGTCGGATAAAGGTAGGCAACGCATCTGCGATTAAGGATGTCTATGGGCAGCGGTCGCTTCGCAACTTTGGCGGATTCAGGTGGCCGCTTGTTCGTTTGCCACCTTATGTTATAAAAAAAGTTTAACGAATCTCTCAGAAAATTGGCACAGATGTTGAACATAGTCTGGAATACCACATAGGCTAATACCGTACGTACAGTCACGGACGACAGCTAGTATAGCATTACTAATATATATAATCTATAGTAACTAACCCAAGTTAAGTCAATTTTAACATATGTAATTTAATTTGCATTGTACTAGTCCCTTTTCCTTTTCATCCTTCTTCTTATAAGAAAAGTATGAGAAGGGAACCTGGACATGACGCTGGAGGAGACGCATAGGAAGGAAAAATTTCCTCTTCATGCGTGTATCCCCTTCCGACGGTAGGGGTAGGCAATGCATCCGCATCACCGAATGTCTATGGGCATTGGTCGCTTCGCCAGATTGAGGGATTCAGGTGGTGGCTTGCTCGTTTGCCAACTTACGATATAAAAAATATCTTTAGTCACAGCTTACGTCGCGATAGTGTTTCAAAAATGTTTCTCATAAAAATACCTATGCATTTTCCCGAATCCATTTGTTTATGCAAACTTTCATAACTCTTCCTTGCATCAACATATTGTCTGCCTTGAAACAGATTTGATTGACTGATTTTTAGCATAAAATGTAATAAAATCTTTACGAGCTTTGAAATCATATGTAAAAAAATATGAATACATTTAAAACCTTTTTTTTGGTTTAAATTAATTTGATCTTGAACAATATGCTGGTGAGCGTACATTTGAGGCGTAATTTAAGTATGTATATACGTATATTCTGTGCAATATTATAAAGAAATGTGGCAATAAGGTGCACTTTGGATATAGTTTAGTTTTTTGTTACTTAAAAGGAGGAATAAACCTTTTGCTGAGTTCATTACACTTTTTACATTTTTCAAACCTCAGTTCTAAATATTCTAATGTCATGTCCTTTTTTAAATGCTCTATGCTTTTCTTCCTTTTGCAAAATGTTTAACTGGTTAGCTTTTTGCCATTTTTTGTTTATTTAAATGCAAAACTGCCAGTTACGATAAAATTTTTAATTTAAAATTTAGACTTTATTCTATAAATTCTTTAAATGTATTAACCTTGTATGATTACAAACATGGTTAGATTTTCAGTGTGTATGCGAAAAATATTCAAATACTTTATTTAATAGCTCAGTTATAGCAAGATGGATGATTTTATTATCTTTAATAAGCTATAAATAATAAATACCAAGATTGGACTATTCGCCTTCTATTGTCATTGAATTGTTATTGAGTATTACGTTGATTAAGTTTTTTTTTTATATTTTTTAAGACGGATTACGATGATGGAATCTTGCAATATATTGCTCAACCAATGAAACTTATATTAATAATATCTAGTGTCTGACCGAATTTGGTTTTTCAGATGAACCCGAAACGGAACTTTCGGTTTTGCCCTGTTTCGAAAGAAACCGAAACTTCCGAAAACACTTTTAAGATTATAAATTTTTAGATATACAGGGTTTTTAATCAATGGATTCAAAGTGATGTAATTTATGATCTACGATTTTTAACAGACATAAAGTTACCTTTTCCATTAAAATTGACCTGTGACAACTGGACTAAAATTCATGAATACTCCTGTTTCTGCAAGTTTAAAAGTTTCGATTGTGGTTATTGGCCGAAACCGAAACAAAGGCAGAAACTAGAATTTTATCCGAAACTGTGCAGAAACCGAAAGTTCGATCGGTCTCTACATCCAATGGTTACTTAAAACTATGTATGGCAATGATTACTTGTATGCAGATCATCATATGTGTATCTGTTGTTTGTGTATGCACGTACGTACGTAGGGTTTTGTTGTTGTTTGAGTAACATCATACCTTTTGTAAATCCTTCATCGCTGCACGCTGGCGCGTGGTCGTGTGGTACTCTAATTCTGACGTCACTTTTGAGATCGCGCTGCAACTAATTTAGGCATCATCCTATTTTTTATAAGGTTGCCGTATTCGATAGACTATATTATTTACAAATCAATCTGTGTTGTTTTATTAAGTTAACTCATACCTCTGTGAATTCCAAAACTTTTGACCTCGGTGTAGTTCCGTATTTGTAGGCTCTATTGCTGTTATTATTTTTTTATTCAAATTATATGTTCAGAATTTAAAAACATATTGTATAGTGTGGGAATGGTTACATAAGTAACAATGTTAATTATTAACAATTAACTAATGTTAAACACACACATAATAACAGTTCTTATTTATAAAAATATCATTGAAGCTTTTGTAACTTGATCCGAGTAATATTTGAAGGGATCCACCCACACGCCTATAGCTGGTTATTTATTTAACAAATATCCAGTTCAACTTTCATGCAATTTGATACTTTCGCGTGATACAACTCACCGATGCACGGCAAAGGTCAAAACGTAATTACGTAGAGGTCGTAGAACTATGTTAACCTTGTCTTATAGAAAAGGTTCACGTAATAACCACACGCAATATTATGTCATCGACAATAAAAATATAACCATATTGATTAAACAGTATACGTTTATTTTACTTCTATCCTCTTATTATGACTAATATTATAAATGCGAATGTTTGAATGGATGGATGGATGTTAATAAGTATTTCCAGAACGGATCAACGGATCTAGATGAAACTTGGCATATAAAATAAACATAGTATGGAGAAACGTATAGGCTATTTACTAATTTTTACTACCCGCAGACAGATTCGTGTACAAAGGCTAGTAAATCCTAAATTTTTTACTTTCTTGCGCAATAAAATATAAACTTGAATATAAATCTGATATTTTTTACATCCTTTACGAAACGTATTTGTAATAAATTGAATATAAGGAAAAATATTGAAATATCATTTGATTGTAAATCAATATAAAGTTCAAGTCTTTTAAAATGATATTGCTTTAGATTATTACTTACAAAAAACAAATCGATGAATAAAATTACAATAGTTATAGAGAATGGATTATTTTAAGTAAGCTTATTATTCCCATATATCTTTATTTCTTATTTTCTATACAATACATTTTACATTACATTTGATATAAAAATAAAATAAAATATATTATATAAAAAATAGAGCACCACCGGCTGCGGAATCCGATGACTCAAGCAACCAGTGGTCAGGGCAGAGACAGGAACCTCCTCATTATGCGTGCGGTTTCTAAAATAACCGCCTTTTGGATCGGGCCCTTAATACAACTGTCTAGCGAGAGCTTCTTGAGGTGTTGGTCGAAGCTCTTCGCTATTAGCCCGTGTACCGAAACGACTATCGGAATAATGGAAGTCGATAGTCGTAAGTAAGCTTTTTTTTTAGTCAAAGTTTCGCAGGAGGTTGTTAAAGAGCTGCGTGTTTATTTGACTTCGTGATATACTTAGAGAAGATACCTTCAATTTCATTTGTCGATAACTCAGTCGTTAGGATAACGAGCAATAAAAATAATTGGTCGAAGTAAGCCAAGCGTTGTGAGGGGACTCAGTTGAAGAGTACAGTGCGTATTATAAGCTAAAGAGGTATTGCTCAACGCATAAGGGCCCTAATTCATTCATCACCAGCTCACTATACGTCCCCACCGAGGGGCTCGGAGATTCCCTAAGGGGTGACTAAACCATAGTCAACCACGCTGGCACACTGCGGTTTGGTCGATTTCACACATATCTTTGAATTTCTTCGCCGATATGTGCAGGCATCACGATGTTCTCTTTCACCGTAAGAGTAAAATATGTACATATGAAAATTCGAAAATCACATTGCTACATGGCGGGATTCGAACCCAAGACCTGTAGACTACAAGTCAAGTGCTTAAACCAATGAGCTACTAAGGGCCCTAAAGACTAATGTAAACTGCGGGCGCTATATCACGCGTATACAGGAAATCTCTTAAATAATCAAACAGCGCCTTCAATGATGTCGATAGTCAACTGTTCACTACGATTAGTTTATAAAATCATAAGTTTAATTAATATCGATACTAAATAATATTTCTATACAAGATCTTCATAGAATCCCATCGTATTTAACTAAATAAAGAAAGGGACGCTTGTGTCATAATTACGCAGTTTTTGTATCAGTACGCGTTGTATGTACATGTTTACGTATAGGTGATATGGAAGGCAAATAGGTTCGGAGTCAGTGTGCCAAAGTCAATCGTCGCCCGCGCAGTCCACTCCGCGGCGCAGACAAAAGCGCGCGCATTTTTCGTTCATTTTTCTTTGTTAATTTTAAGGGTGAGTATCATGAAATATTTTATTTATAATTTAATTAAAATAAAACATTATTTAATTTATATGTAAAATTTTGATTTTATTATTATCAAACGTGGTTAAATTTTACATTTTTTTTTATTCTAGAAAAAATAATAAGGTTCAGTCGGGTGAAATAAAAATAGTACTTCATTACTAAGCAATTTAAGTTACAAGTGTGAAATATTTAAGTTATTTAAGAAGGTTATAAATAGTAAGCGTAGTAAGTAATATCAATTACAATTTTTATAACTAAACACAACTAGCATATTTAACTACAAATATTGTGATTGTTTAATCAAACCTATTTTCAATAATAAAGACCTTTGTGTAATCACTTAAAAACTATAGGACTTATTATAATGTATTCACGGTAATTTCTTATCATGGATTTAAAATAATTCTGACGTTAATTAATTTATTAATTATTTCAAAGATTTTATCTCTATAATTACATAATTACGTTTGAGAATTTAAAATACAGACTTTAATAATGCAGTATACAATAAGAACCTAACAAGGGTAGGTTTTCATTGTTTCGCAGGAATATTTTAAAATGCACACTAACTTGAGAAACGAATTTTTTTATAGGTATAAGGGATAGAATGTTTAAAAAAAACATCAATGCGATATGTCCTACTTTCTCTGGTCTATGAATCCCCAACGGATATTAGATGTATTAATTATCAATTTCTTTTACCTTTATAAGGGCTCAAAGCATTCACTAGTCGAATACGCTGTATTAAGCTATTTGATTATTTACTTTTTGAGTTCATCTTCAGTTATTATAAACACAATCACTTAGTTTTAGTGATTATATCTACTGCAGGCAGGTACCTTGTGCAAACATTTAGGTGTTCCTCCCTATCATTCTCTTTTAAAAACTAAGATTACATTTTCTTCTCAATATTCTATATTGAGCTCAAGCGACACATTATCATCACCAGCTCACTATACGTCCCCACAGAGGGGCTCGGAGCCTACCCTAAATTAGGGTGACTAGGCCATAGTCCACCACGCAGGACCAGTGCGGGTTGGTCAAGCGACACATTGGTACACAATATCATCGCGAACGCTTTTAAAACAATTTCAAATTCTTTTTTTTTTGTTTACTATTCAAAGGACTTTGAGCAAGAAACAAAAGAATGTTTGTAATACGAATTAGATGTGCTGATTAATTTAAAAAACTGTTCTTTATCAGTTTATTTCTTAGAAACACTGGCTACTGTTATTGCCTTATCACTGACTGACCGAATGTTGTAAAGAAACCTATATATCAAATGGCTCATACGTGATGGAAACAAAAACTCTCTTGTGTTACATAAACAACTAACAAAGAATTCAAAGAAAGACAGGAAGCGAATATTTAAATTTTATTACTTGCCAATTGCGATAACTTTAACTGTTCTATGATAAATATTAATGACATTTATGAAAACTATTCATTGATATTTGTTATGTATTACGATACTGGCTGTTACCGTGCGGCTTCATCCGCATGAAATTATGAAAAATTTATTTTATTGTTTACATTTGTCGAATTATCAATAGCAAATGTCAAACTGACATGACATGACAAACCTTGGCAATCTTGTTTCCTTAATGTTGGCAGCAACTTATGGTCTCTTTCCCACATTAGGGATTTTATCCAAAATGTTTACCCCTAAGGTTATTGGCGTGAAAATATATAACCTAAAGCGTGTCTGACGTAAGTGTAGGGCTTTTTATTTAAAAGAGTGTTATTCAAAAATATGCTGTAATTGCTGACATCTTAGGCAACAAAGAAGTGTGTGTGTACGCTTTATTACATTAGTATAGAAGTATAGATGAGCTAAGCTTATATAACTTTAAATAAACTTCAGCCTTTACGTCAAGTAAAGGGTTAAAAATATGCGTAACTCTAGAGTCTAATTAGAACGTAATTACATACACCTGTTAGCATAGATTCAATCAATTACTTGTTCACTTGTTTACTTAGTTAATGATAAGTTGTAAACTTGCTTTAATGTAAAATTCTGAGTAGTATAACGATAAAATTCTTTGGAATTTTCTGGTTAATAGAAAATGTTGACGACGTTACAAATAATAATGGGTTCGATCATAGTAATATTATAAATGCAAAAGTTTAGATGGATGGATGTTTGTTAGAATTTGTAGCCTAAACAGCTAAATGGATTTTAGTAAAATTTAACATAGATGAAAAGGATAGTCTGCAAGAACACATAGGCTACTTGCATCCGCGCAGACGGATTCGTGGGCAAAAGTTAGTATTAAATAAATTATAGATATTCATATAAAGAAAATAATTTATTTAAGTTTAAGTTACTTTTAAATAAAAGAACATGAAACAATAAAAAGCCTGGTTACCCAATGGCATAGCTACCCGATCACAGACTTAGACGACAAAACAGCCATCTAAACTTTACAATTTATTGTTTTAGTAAGTTTTGAAAAGACGCAGGACATTATCGATTTATGTCAGTTCTTTTTCTGAATATTTAAATTATTTTACATCACAGATTTTAACTGAAGTCTGTTGAGAAAATAATTTTGAAATATTTAAAGGTGTTGCAATAAAAGTGCAATATTTTGATGTGTTCATCTTATTTGGTGCAGTGATAAAAAATGATTTATAAACATTTTTGTTAGAATTATGCTTTTAATATAGTTTTATTTCTTGTTTGTACAGTCACGATCTATCGATTATCGTTAACAATTTTATGTTCCTGTAGCTGAGAGGTTAGTAAGAATGCTGTTCTAGTTTGCCATATTATACTCATTTTAAAATAGATGTAAACCAAAGGTCGAAGTTAAAGCTAACTGTTGACTTAGATTGCAATAACCTTCATAAAAAGATAGGTTATAAGACAGGACCAGGGTATTTTGTACCTAATCGATTATTACCATTTTTGACAGTATCTGTTGGCCTAGGTCCTCACCAACTCGAATCCTCATTCGAAATAATAATATTGATAGAACTGTTAGCAACATCAAAAGATGAGTGTAAGTCGGAACGAAACAAAACATGTCCTATCCATTTATAGAGATCAGTAAACAGAGAAAAGGGAAGTTTTGTTATATGATACTCTGAAAATCGACAATTGTAGGTAATTACTTAAAATAATATTATACGTTTAAATAACCGGAAACCTTGAGTCTGACCTTCGATTTTACCACCGACTCTTATTTAATCAAGAATATAACCGCTATTACAAAATCGATACTTTGCTAAAAATATATAGTAAGACGCTGTTTACTGGTGAAAGATGTCTTAAAATCAGTTTAGTAAATTTAAGTTTATTAACTGAACAAATAAAATAAATTGTGTATTGGCCAAGATGACCAGTATTGCTGCGAACAAGGTGTAAAAGTCTGGTACTAATTACCACTGTCGAATATCTGCTACTTCGAAGTCAAGGCGGCTTGAATACTAATAAAATGTCTTTATTGTTTAAATAAATGCATATGCATTAGTAAAAGAATTCTTTACAACCTTGGTTAGTGCAGTAAAATGCAAGTTTACTTTGTACGCGAACTTGCGACTTGCGAGTCGGGTTGTATTGATTTTGATGAAAATAAACGTATGTTTTGTTTGCCGGTGCCGGTGCACCCGGCCTGCTGGCACGCAGTTGACCTTGACGCCTCGCTTCGATTCGAATATGATCTTCCAACGCGTATAATATAATGATACCATTACAAGCTCTTAATGTTATGATTTTATATACATCTATAGTTCAACCTCTCTATTAATAATTGATTAGTTTCGACTTAGACGCAAAAAGTTCTTAGCTACAAGAGGGCGCAAGCGACGCCTGTTCAACCACAATCCGGTAATAACAATAAAGTAACGACCCGAGGCTCCTGAGGGAGCTTTTGAGCCTAGTTACTCATAAACGAAATTTAGGCTAAGCGCCATCTACGCTCGTCCACCTCAAGCGCGGTGAATCTGTAAATGCCTCTTCAAGGCAAACAGTAGCAATTCGGCCCCAAAAAAAGCCTGTCCAACACGTTCTGTTATGGTCGATTGTTTGTTTTCAGTTGTATCTCCAGTAGGATCTAAGCTGACAGACAGGACAGTTGCCAATTATTCTATGTGAACATTGGCAAGTAGTGAACATTGAGATAATGTAAGTGGGCAGTATGTAAAAGGTCAAAGCTGTATTAGCCACGTAATAAAATAACATATCATAGAATTAATGAATCACAACTACACAGTGTTATAACATTAAACATACATTGTATAATGCTAGAGTGACTAACAAATGAGCAGGCCTTTGAAATGTTACGCATATTATGTTAATAATCTAAAAGCGTATAAATCTACTACAAATTTTTATAACACTCACAGTCGTAACTCAGAGGGATGAGTAGAGATTACAGATTACCATTAAGACAGTAAGTAGAGTCGAATTTAAGGTAGGGTAGTAATGGTTTTAGGTAGATTGGAACGAAAATCATAATTCTACTCTCTAAGCGATATTTTGGATTGTTCCCAACCGTCACCCCGCTCTGCCCAATGCGGGAACAGATGAGAATAAAATGTTTCATCGGTCTCTCCTTTTGCGACGAGGGGACGGTTGAAACTTATTTCATTTCTTAGCGGTTCCATCTGTCACCTTATTGGTGATAGTGGGACTAAAAGGTCGGATGAAACTTTTTATTCTCACGTGGGGACAGAGCGGAGTGACGGTTGGGAATAATCCGATATTTTTCTACTCTTTAGGCGTGGGGGGGAACAAGGAGCGCTGAAAACATACTATCGACTCCTTTGTAGTAAGTGGATATTCCAAATGAAGTTTAAAATCAATGTGATAGATCTCATAACGGTCTCTCAACTATTCAAGTTTAAATGTTAAACCAAAAATATCAAGAACATTTAAAGTTATGTAATGAATATGCATATTACAATGTTAATATTTATGAAGTTCTAGGAAGTAAACCGATTGAAGGACATGTTAGTTGTTAATTTTAAATCCAATAATGACGTATTCAACTCTTAACAGATAAATATAACTCGTGTTTGTAGAGATGAGCTTGATTCAATTAAAATTTAATCCATCGAAGGTCAAACGACTTACTAAACTTTAAAAATGTATAGACTAGGCGCAGTGAACAATTTCTTTCACCGGTTTTTTCTCTGAAAGGTATTATAACAGTGATCAAGCTTGGTGTAATAAAACATTTTACAAAATTATAATATGCTCCATCTATTGATAAAAAATATACTAAACAGTATTAAAAATAAAAAATTAACATTCAAATGTTATTTAATAACTCAAGTAAAGTGTTAACTATGCCACCTCTATATGTTATTTCAATCTCTTTGGCTACAAGGTAAATATTTAAACCAGAAGTCCTGTACTACTTTTTATAAAGCCATTTAACTTACAATTAAGGAAACAGGAATAGTCATTTGAAGGCCACAGTCTATTTTAAATGTCTTACATTGTGTATAAAATAGTTGGAACATAAAAAAACAATTAAAGAAGTTAAAACCAAAAAGAGTTAAATAAACTCGTTATTCCACACAATTTGTATGCTGTTGCGGCTTAGTATTTTCAAGATAAATCGATAAAAACTTAACTCACTAGCTCAATTATTGTTAGGCTACTGCCAATGTGTTCTTCTGGACTGTCCTCTATATACTCGTATTTGCCACATTTTAGATCCGTTCAGCAGTAAACGGCTGTAAATGGCCTGTAAGCCACAAACTCTTAACAAATATTCACTATTTTTTCTATTCATCCATCCATACATCTAAACTTTAGCATTTATAATATCTGTTCTAATATTATAAAGAGAAAAGGTTTGTATTTTTGTATGTATTGTAATAACTCAAAAATTATTATACCAATTTCAAAATTTTTACCATTACAAAGCTATGTTATCAGTAAGTAACATAGGCAATATAATTTTTTTTATTATAACGCGAGCGAAGTCACGATCAACAGCTAGTTAGTAATATAGAGATTACCACATTCAGATTGTATTTTAAAATTTAGATTAATTTTTAATATTATAGTTATTAAAAATATGTAATCAAATTAATTTATTCTTATTGGATATTAAGTTAATCTTTAAAAGATGTTTTTAAATTAAATTTATACATCATCTACGAAAAATGCATGACATTTCCTTTTCATGCATCTGTACACTCAATGTTTATTAAGAATTGTGTTAATAAAATACTAGTAATAATATTTTATTTCAGAATTTCAACAAAAATTATTTAATCAATTCGCAAAGGGCAATCTTAAAATTCTTTGTAATGTCATTTTTTACGCAATCCATCAATCCGCATTTTACTTTTATTCAATTTACTTGGTCGCGGACAAGTACAAGTATATCTTAACAAATGTGATTAAAAACGTTGTAATTAGGTTAATATATCTGATTCTTTTTTAAATTGACCTACTAATGACAGAAGTCGATTCAATTGCGAGGTTATCGTGTTACCATTTTTTATCAGAACCTGACACCGTATCTTTACGTTTGTCCTTTGAATAAAGTCTTAATATCCGTATTAAAATATGCCTAATTGACCTTTTTAAATAAAATATTTAGCTAGCGCTAATGAAATTCGTATAAAAGTTGTATAGCCATTTGCTCCTGGCTTACATCTACATCGAAAATATAGTCACAAGCTACAAGAAATCTCGAAGGTACTGTATTTTAATATCAAATATCTTGATCCTTTTTAATAGCTATATAACTCATACAGGATGTTTATTAGTTTTTACTTAATTTACTTCATAAACGATTAGGCTTATAGCCTAATGGAGTTTGACCTTTAGAATTCCTGCTTTTAATGCGACTTCGAGCCAAGGCGAACTACCTTTGGAAGACTCGACCGGACATGCGTATCCAACAATTTGTCTCATTATGTCACGCATGTATTAACAAATGAATACATTTACATCATCGACGCATGCTCTATTTTGAAAAAGATTTATTATTGCATCGTTCATTGCAATAATTCCTAACATTGATTAATGTTTTACAAAACTTCAGCCCATTTTCTATATCTATATCAAAGCGTAAACACACATTACTTTGCGGCGTAGGATGTCACCAATCATAGCATATTTTTGAATAATACTTTCTTTAATAAAACCCTACACTTACGACACGCTTAAGGCTATATGTTTTTACGCTTAAAAGGATTAGGATAAAAAATTGGAAAAATACCTTCATGTGGAAAAGGGACCATAAACAACAAGCCGACAACATCAAGGAAGCAAGATTTCCATGGTTTTTTATCATGTCATGTCATTTTGACAATAGAACTTTATAATATGACAAATGTAAACAATATAAAAAAGTTTCATAATTTCATGCGGATGAAGCCGCACGAAAACAGCTTGTATTAAATAACCAAAAACTATATGTACGTTACAATAGCGGTAAGTTAATATTTACCCGTTATAGGGATGAAACACGAGAACTTATGAGAATCTTGTCATTATCTTTAGTACAGTCTAGTGTTATTAATTCAAAACGAACAAAGACCGCTTAACTACAACGTGTCGTATCGCAACCGTATACTTCTATTTAGCAATGCTATTGTGTTTTATAGGATACTAATTACGGCATATGGTAATGTCAATATTTTTGTTGTGTGAATTTCATGAGTACCCACAATAACGTTCTGTTATCTGATGTACTCATGAAAAACAACAACTTTTTTATATTAACGGCTGAGAACAAAATTCAATGGCTTTGTTAATAGAAACTAGTTTGCCGGTTAGATTTGCTATATAGTTTTGTATAACTTGGAACTGTAAGTGATGAGTGTGATATATCTTTAAATAAAAAAGGTTACCATTTTTAAGAGATGTACTGTACGTGGTGACCATATGACGTTTGGCAAGTGTACCAAAACTTCGCAATTAGGAGTTTTCTCTCAGCATAAAACCCGACTACTGATACCGAGGTAATATCAAAGTTATTTGAATTACCAACAACATGCATCGGTGGTTTCTTTGTCTAAGCCCATATCGTGCACGCAATGCAATTTATTGTAGACCACGGGTGGCGAACCTTAATGCAACAAAGTGCCATTTAAAAAAAAATGTTTTATGCGGTCTTAGACGTGCTATCAAATAATTTTAAATGATTATTATGTCAATTCCATGGTGCATGGTAATGACATCGCGGTTACTTTTCATATAATATCAATTTGTCGTAGTGTTTTTATGATTATCGACGTGCCCAAAACATTGTGAGCGTGCCAAAGGTTAGCTATCCCTGCTGTAAACTATCATACTTCATACTAATATTATAAATGCGAAAGTTTAGATAGATGGATAGATGGATGGATGAGTCGATGTTTGTTAGAGTTTATAGCCAAACGGCTGAACAGATTTCGTTTAAATTTGGTAAGAATGTTGAGGATAGTCTGGAAGAACACAACATAGTTTTTTTTTAATTCTACGCGGACGGAGTCGCGGGCGAAAGCCTGTACACTAATAAATCTTCTAACTATTGTTTTAGCGTACTGCTAACATACGAAAGTTCTGTTCATGTCGTGACTGGCCTGTGTACCGCGCCAGTAACTCACTAAAAGCCGTTCACTAACTGCATTTCACTAGCTTTCATCGATGTAGCCCTGATAATTTCCCAGAGGGGTCTTTTGTTATATGGACTATCATACCTAATGGTTATACGGAAGAACTATTCAACTAGATAAATGTGAGAAAATGGTCATGAATAGCTTGTAAAAATATTTACCTTAACAATAATTACCACACATCTAAGTTTACTTGTTTAAATCTAAAATGAATACATGCTTGCTTGACACAGAAAAAACTCATTTATAAAGAACCTCTATTTGTAAGGTTACAAATATACGCAGATAATTTTTTAGAGACTTTTTCAAATGTCATTACGTAATTAACTTGGCCCATAGGCATTTGAACATCATTCTGTGTTTCTATTATCTTAAAACAATTTATATTATTTCATAATTTGGCATATGGAGTTAAGGAATTGCGAAAAAAGCATTAAAACCGTGCTGTTTTTATCAGTCCTAATAACAGATAGCGTAATAATTATTAACAACGGTGTAACATTTTGTCTGTACTATGGAGGATTTCTTAAAATAGTTTTAATAAAAAATCTAATGCTTAAATAAAAAAAAATATCGCATAATAACGCGGGTGAATCAATGATTTTGCAAGAAAAAATACTCAAGTTAGTATTAAGTAAGCAGATAACTTCGATTATTGAAATAATGTTTAAGTTTGTGAAACAATCGAAGTCAACGAACTTCAAGGGGTCAAGTTGTGCCTTTTGCTTATAAGATTATCTTACACCATTAACTTAGCTTATCAAAGACAAATTAACTTAATAGATTTTAAGTAAATATAAATTTAATTTCATCTTCATTTTTGTGTACTTTAATATTTATAATCTAATTATAATTAAAAAAAATAGTCAATAATAAAATGTTTAATATAATAATTTTCGCCTCCGTTTTATAGTTTTGCTATTTAAATTGATTAGACTAAGATGTCTGTTTTTAATAAGTTATCAAGGTATAATTATTTGCAGCGAGGATGCCGGCGCCTGACTATAGTGTGGACCTGGAGCTGGGCGAGCCAGCGGAAGAGTTGCTGGAGCACGCTCGTCTTCATTGCGGCGAGGACGACAGCACACGACTACAGGCCATATACGAACTGAGAGACATTATATACGGTATGTTCTTAATTTTGAAAAAAACTTGTCCGCGGTTGCATTCATCACTTACTTCCCCAACGAGGGGTTTATAAATAAAGGGTGATTTAAATCTCTTATCTACGACGAAATTCAACTATTTATGAACTAATCAGTACTAGACCAGTGTTAAAATTAATTTATAGAAATTAATATTTTCAGATTAAAAATAACAATTATCGCGTTATGTTTGATTTGGAGTTTATAGTTTAAGCTAAAATATTTTAAATCAGAATTGATTTTCTGAAGAACACTGTTTTAATATTTTTACCCACGCAATATAAATAAAATTTAGATATAATATTCGATTCCTAGTAAATTTAAATTGATGTAAAATTTAGATTACCATTTTAATTGAAGTAACGAACGAAATTATAAAATTTCATTCATATTATTATTATTTTGATGTCTTTTGACAAGATTTAACATTGATTGAATGTAATAAATTAATACAATGTTTCATATTCTGATAGAAAACGTGTTGGCATTATTGGTAATGGTGCAATATAAATTATTCTTTCTGTTATGTTTGAAGTCTGTTTATTTGCAATTTCTATTATAACCAATAACAGTTTTGAATATTAAGTCATCTCCCCTGCCTTATTCTACTCCCGTAGGTTCGGTGCACTGGGTTTTCGTCCTCCAACTAACTCTCCTACTAATCCTCCGTCATCTCAGTCATCACTCCCTTCTTGATCATGTCACCTTTCACGCAATCCATCCATCTCTTTCTAGTATTGAATATTATATACAATGTCAATAAAATTAAAGTCTACATTAATTAGGCTTATAAAGTAAAATGTCACTATACAATGTCGTGCTAAGTGAATTGCTTAGAACAATGATCCTCGTTATTTACTAATTTGTTTAGTAACTATTAAGGATTTTACTAAATTGACTAACAGAATGTAATATACTTAACATACGCTTTACCAACGTCAGTTTTTTAATACAATTATGTCCAGATGTTTAAAATAAATTATGTAAAACTATGTTAATTTAGGAAACATGAATCGTTTTTTACATGACATGTATTTTTTTACTTTCGACACATTTAAAAAAAGAATAACATACAAATTATTAACATATCTGTTTAGCTATCTATTCTATTCCAACACATATTATCATTTCAAGATTAAGTCAGATTAGATGAGATTACATATTAACTAATAGTAAATACTAAATCTTTGAACTATTTTAAACGTATCTGTTCATTGTGACATTTGTCATTCATTCATTTCATTCACTCAATAGTGTGAGTGAACGAGACATGATAGATCTAGTTCGTGACACACGATCCATGTTCGGGCCAAAGTCACAATAAAAGGATTACGTTCTTTGTTTACAAATCGGTGCCAAGGCGTCTTATTGATAGCTTAAAGTTGGTTACATATGGTAACTCTACATACAGTATGATTCTTAATTCATCGTCAACTTGGCCGTATGCCTATGAAGGGTTAGCACAATATGTGCTGCTCTTCCATACCTCTTATCAGCCGTCATATCTGAATCCACTCCCTTCTTAAGCATATCCTCTTTCACAATCCATCCTTTGCAGCCATCCACATTCAATTTTAACACTTTCTGGTTAACATCATCATACAGTATGATTCTTAAATGCCGGATCAAAAACTTTGTGGAGGTGGAGGTAGAGTTTTACCTCCACACAGTTTAAGAATCAACCTGTATAGCAATATAATTAAACAGGTGAAGAACATAACGTCGTGTTAAAATGAAGGAGACGTAAACCTCCTTGTCGTTAACCTCTGTGGAAGTTTCCCGAACTCTGTACTTTGTTAATGATTAAACACGTTACTAATTTTATTGATTAATTAAACCTAACAACCTTGTTATGATGTTTGTAATCAAGCATTACTCACCTGTTATCTAATATTATTTTACAACTTTGACGCGCGACAAATGTATTGCAACGCGACGAGCAAATACATAAATTCCTTGAATGTATCGAATTTTATTGTATGGATTTCAACACTAAAATCAGTAGCACATGAACATGAGTTCATTGTCGTTGAATTGTCACCTAACTAGATAAAACACGGAATCATGAACTTTTATGTTATTTATAACATCGTTTTACTTCTAATTTAGTCTAGTTTATGTTTACGGATTTTTTCGGCATTAAATCAATGATTTTAAAATACTGATTTATAACTAAATCTCAAAACTTTAAGCATCCCTTTAAAATAGACTCAGTTCAAAGGTCAATAAACTAGTGTATGGATGGAAACCGCTGGGGCAGAAATCCGAGAGACGGATATTAGAGAAGTAATTAACAACCGAGTTACATATCCGTGCGTGTAAAGCTAGGATATATAGGTATTAAATTTTAAATAGTAAATTACTAAAATTTTCATAAAGTTGCCTAAATTATAAAGCCACTATTATTTTCCTTTATGCAAGTAACAATAGAGTAATTCGTAAATTGTAGCATAAACTTCTTGTTGATATATGCACAATTATTTTAGTTAATTAAAAAGTTTGCAATAATTCGATTAAGAAATGTAAAACAAAGCAGTTATTCTAATCTTTACGTTAAGATCAAGCGTCACGTTTCTTCTAATCTTGATATATAATTTCTCTTTTTGAATTCTTATAAAGGTATTTCACCATTGTATATTGCTTTTGAAACACGTAAAAATAAGTGTATCGTGTCATTGGTAGGCGTAAGTTCATGACACTGTGCCCTTAAATGTCTGATTAAATTCTTAAAGTTTTTTGTGGCTTGACCAAAAAATATTACCTGCTCAAAATATAAAAGATGCAGACAGCACTTTAAAGTATTTTTTTGTGTTTCTCACAATGTTTTTTTTATCGTTTTATTTCAGAACGTGGTGAGTGCGACCCACACCGTATGGACGACGAGTTTTTAATACGATTTTTGCGAGCCAGAAATTTCATACCACAAAGAGCTCACAGACTGGTATGTATACACTTTAATTGGGAATTTTACAATTTTGTATGAAAATTACTAAATTTAAACGTAGATTTTATTACACATTCTTTTCTTTTTCGTTTTTGTTCACTTTTGCTATATTTATCAATATATATTTTTTTCGTTTTATTATTAAAAAATAATGATTAACTTATTTGTGATACAAAACACGCATTGTTCAAGATTTCATAGAAACCTTATAATTTCAAGAACAATGTTTGATTTTCTTTGGGTAGCGAAATATTCAGTAAAAGTTATAAGGTTCCGAAGCTTTAATTTATTTTGAATTTTTATTAAAAGAACATAAAGAGACAAGCAGAGGTTACGTTTTCTCATCTACAATACAAAACGTATAGAAACATTATTGTCTCTTATCACTTTTAGGAAACTGAGATAACTATTGTGTTTTAAAGATGTTTTGACATTGGATATCTCGAGCAATTACACTTAGTAATAGTATTCTGATATATAATGTATTATTATATACAGATGGTGAATTATTACCGTTTCAAGCAAGAAAATTCACAGCTATTTGAAGACGTCTATCCATTGAAACTCCGCCACGTTGGGGATTCGAATGTACTCGCCGTGCCGCCTTACCACGACCAGAATGGACGAAGACTACTTATCTATAGAATTGGTAAATTATCCATAGACATTAGATGTAACCGAAATGGACAAACCGAGTTTTAGAGGATTTTACTAAAAGATTCCTTAAGTGTGCGAGAGTGGTGTAGGGCATTTTTTTTTTAAATTCACGCTGACAAAGTCGCAAACAAGAGCTAGTAAATGATACATTTGTATACAGATTGCCATATTAAATTTTATTCTATGCCAATCAGATTATTTATTTTCTTTTTATAAATTTATATTTTGTAGTTTATTACTTCTTTGTTTTCATAACCGTAATCATAATCACGTTATACATAATCTAGGCTGCTGGGACCCTAAGGCTGTTCCGATAGACGACTTGTTCAAAGCCACTATCTTGGCTATGGAGTTGGGAATGCTGGAGCAACGCAACCAAATCCTCGGCGGTCTGGCGATCTTCGACCTGGCAGATATTGGCACGCAGCAAGCGTGGCAGATCACACCATCCATAGCTAACAAGATTGTAAAACTCTTAGTGGTGAGTTAAAGGAAAGTTTTATTTTTGTAAAAGGGAATTTATGTCTAAAGATACTTTTAAGTAGCTGTACGTTATAGTTATCATTTTTTATATTATATATGGATTTAAAGGACGATACTTTTTTGCGGTAATAGTAAGAAATTATGAATTTTCTTTAAATATGTCACAAGACAACTTTAGTGACATTTAAAATCTTTTCATCTCAGAATAACTAGACAGGGTGTATCAAATCTGTTCATTATATGCATAATTCATAAAACTCTCATAAAACAGCTCTGACGTACATCAAAATACGAGCAAAGGATACAAAATTGCAAATAAACTGGCATCATGTCTTATGAATAATTAAAGAACAGTGCAAGTAAACAAAGGCGACAACAAAAGATAGTTTGTTGACCTTTGTAGAGTCGTGTGTCGACCCAAGCTACACTTGAATTAATATCGGGAAAAAAAGGTTCTATTCTTACGAATTTAGCAAATTCCGTAGGCGGGAATACTCGAGATATTTCCAGAAAACAAACATGAATAAAATCAATGTAACAAACAAGAGCTTATGCTCCTACTCACAATACCTTGATTTGTAAACTTTTCAACTACAACTATATTCATTTAAATTACAATTTCGACCTTGTTTTCTTCCGTTTAGAGTTGAAAATCGTTTAATAATCACCTTAAACTATTCCAGTCTTGTTTCCCTGCAACAACCCACGCCATCCACATCATCAACCACTCATGGCTGTTCGACAAGATGTACAATATGTTCAAGCCGCTGCTCAACTCTACAATGCGGTCCAAGATCTTCTTCCACGGGTATGACGTGAAGTCTCTTCACCAGCACATAGATCCGGAACATTTACCGGAGAGATATGGTGGAGTCTGGCCGGATTATTCTTACACCATCTGGTTGGATTCCTTGAAGAATAACTATGCAGTTGCAAAAGAAATGATCACTTGCGGCTATAAGTTTCAAGAGGATGAACTACCTCCAGAAGTTGTTAGGAAATTAAAGGAAAATGATGTTAGGTTGTCGTAAAAGTTGCATAAATATTGACGTTACAAAAGAACTTTGTAACTTTTTATTAAGGATAGTGGTTTAGGAAATTAGTTTGGCATTTTTTAATCAATTAGGTTTTAAAATACGTTCTTCATTATGTTTAATACATTTTTGAGTATCTGTTTTTTGTCGCTTAGTCTATGTTGCTATTAGTATACTAAATTACTTTATTAATTTTACTTAGCCTATTAATTTGTAAGTTTTTATTGTATTAGTTTTATATTGAAAATCGTCAAAAAACCTGTGATAAAGTTACTTGAGTAGTAGTATAACTATTATTAAAATAAAATAAGTATTAGCTTCTAAAAAACCGTAATTATTCCGATTTTTTTGCCATTTAACGGATACCTAAATGTTAAAGGTTTTGAAAATATAACTTTTTTTTAATATTTAGGAATGTTATGAAATAGTTTTAAATCCTTTAACATTTTCTAAAAAGTTTCTGGTTTTAAAAATGGCATACCGATCTTTATGTAGTTTTAGTTTTATAATAATCATAAAATGTTATTCAAAACTTAATTATTTAGATAAGAATTTTAAATTTAAAGCAATGGCGTTACATGGTTTTTATAAAATCGTCACTAGAGCTAATTAATTACATTGTAAATATTTTAATGTTCAAAATAATGAGGGAATTTTGTAATTTTCTATGTGTTTAATAAATAGTTATAAGAAATTGTATTGCGGGGTATTCCACCAGTAATTTTTTATTACATTAATAAACTTTTTTTTTATTAAACTTCTGTTTTGTATGATTTATAAAAGTGGAAGGTTATTAAAGCATTGACTTATTTGTAATTAAGATCTTCCTAATATTTCAAGACACATTTTGGGACCTTCATCCTTAGGGTAAATACTAAATGGAGGTAACTATCTACTATAACCTCCCATTCAATATATCCTTATCATATAACCTCCCAATCAACTGATAATCCTTCGTAACGTGTAGTTTGGGAACAAGGACTTGTTTGATACTAAAATTACTTCGTGCAAGTCTCCAAGACCTATTCAGTTTATAGTATTTATGTAATTTCCTTTGCTCGGATAAATTCACAGGCGCCAATGTGCTTTAGAAATAAATTTAATACCAAAACATTTAATGCATATCAATGTTTATTTAGTATAAATTTTGAAAAGGGGCTAAAAACGAAACAACTAATAGTCTATTTAATTCTGTACAGCTTCTTAATCTTCTCTTAAAGCAATATAAGAGCATTTATGACAGAAAAAATGTTTTAAGTACATACAGGAGCTTCTCTACATCACTCTTTAGGATGAATCACCATTGTTGTTTACCATCGCAGGTTTGGAAACGTCCTTAATTGAGGTCCGAGACACTTCTTCTGTAATGTTAAATAGTCGTGTAGAATCGATATATTTGTGTAGGCGCTCACATCGTGGAAACTTGAAGCTGGAGTAATTTTTTGTTATTTCGCACTCTTCGGTTTCAGAATCATCAGTCGCAACAAAACTTCTCCGATACTTACGAAACCTATTCGCTAGTCGCGTCAGAAAACTGTCCTTCGTCGATTTCGGTTTAGGAAATGGTAAGACTTTGTTCATATCTAGAGAATACTCCGGCTCAAATTGTAAATCGAAGCCGAACTTAAGCTTAGATTGTGTTTTACGAAGTGTGGCCAGATCATTTTCAATAGTATTCAAATTGCAACAACTCTGAGTTGTTTTCTGTCCAAGCGAGACATTACGGTTTTTTTCTTGCAGGCGCTCTTTAAGAAAATGCAAACTAGCCGTATAAAACTGTTCCTCGTCGCCCGGTGATTCCAATGCTACAATCAATGGATTCGGCTCCCTTTCTTGACAGTTTTCGTTGACTATTAAGGATTTGTACCGTTGCATTCCTTAGGCAATAAGTTTGTATTGTAGCTCATTTTCATTTGATAACCAAAAATGTTTACTTTATCTTTAAACAAATACAAAATAAAGTCAGTAACTTGACTGCTAATATTTTGAAATGTAACGTCAAGTTTGTCATAAACGTCTAAATGTCAAATTGTAATAAAAAGGTTTTATTTGTCATTAAAAAACAAAACATACGGATTAAGTAAGCATAGAAATAGAGTGTGTGTGAGTGAACTTTAACACAATAGTCTGATCGGTTCTAAAGATTCTATAATCCTGATATCGGCCGCCCACGCGGATTGCCGGCGGCAGCTCACGGCAGATTACAGATTCCATTAAATTCAGACATTGTTTGTTCCTTCTCACTATTCTCAATCACAAGATAAGACAAATATATTAAAAGGATATAGCCAAATGTCAAAGGATGACTGATTTTTATCTCTGATATTTGTAAATAGTTCGTGGCCAACATATTTATAAAATCATGTAGCACTATTCAACACAGTTCAATAGCCAATGTTTTAAGAGGTTGTCTACAAGCATGGGATTTTTATACCTATTAGAATTGTAAAGAGATTTATAATATCATTTAAATCTCTCGTCAAAACTCTTATTTAGCAGAAAGCAGTTCTTCATGCTTAATACTATAAAGAGGAAAGATTTGTATTTTTGGATTTTTGCATGGATTAATATAACTCAAAAACTACTACCTATTACAAACATTATTTCGCCATTAAGCATCTAAGTTATCAATGAGTAACATAGTCTATGTTTTTTTATTATTTCTTAATTCCACGTGGACGAAGTCGCGGCAAACAGCTAGTTATTGATATGTAGGACTCCAAATTAAAGGTTTAAGCGTCAAATATGTCTACCTACACGGCTATTAGGTTTAATTCAAATTCTAAAACTAAATCTGTCGGGCACTAAATTCGTTGATAGTTTGTTTATATCCGTTCAGTAACAATAATATCATTAAGCTCGAGTTAATTTCATCTTAAAGCAAACAAATGTTATTTTCCACTATGTTAGTTCAGATGTTACCTTAGCCATTCGATCGTAAATCTATTGCGAAGGATATTCTATGAAATTATTTTGCCGTATCAGAATTCGACATTTCAGTGTGAATATTTGAAAAGCATCTAATTAATATGCTTGAAAAAAACTACGTTAAGGTTAAAAATGTAGAATAATCCTGTTATTAATTATCTGTGATCACGAGATCAGAAATTCTTAATCTCTGTCTACACCTTTGTGTTACAGCAGTCTGCGTATTTTATTTTATTATATTATAAGACGATGTTACTCAGTTATAATGTAGCTTTTAATGATGCATGAAAAAAACAGATCTTTACTCTTTATATTAGTACTAGATTTCGTACGCGACTCCGTCCACGTGGAATTAAATAAAAACAAAAGTGAGTATCCTATGTGATCTTCCAGACTATCCTCTACATTTATACAAAATTTTATCGAAATCCTTTCAGCCGTTAATGCTACAAACTAACAAACATCAATCTAAACTTTCGTATTTATAATATTAGTATGAAGTATGATAGATATAGAAGTATACACAAGACACGAGTACTTGATAAATTTCACCTTATTTCGAAACGATTCAGCTATATTTAACCGTAGGATCCTTAACGATTCAGTAAACTCGCTTAACCTCCGTCTTAGCATTTAAATTGCTTGTAAAACGGTACTCGGAGTTATCACCTGAGAGTAATCACTAATGAGTACGAATTGTAATTAAAGTACGCATCGTTTGGCCGCGACCCCGCGGACGACGACCTCGCGATAATCATTAACCCCTACAGCGAATTCGAAAGCCCAAAACTTTTCCATCTACGTAACTACTAAAACGATCACATCACAAAGTTATATGGAAAAAGTTTGATTGTAGTAATTAAAATGTGATATTTTGTACATATGTTTACGCATGCGCATTAGAAAAAATAACAGATAAATCTTTAGATTTTTACATTATGAAAGGAAAGATTTGTATTTTTGTAAATTTTGAACAAAAACTCAAAAACTAATAGGCCGATTAAAAAAATTCTTTCACCGTTAAATAGCTCTGTTATCATGAGTAACATGGGTTATCATTATTTTTAAAATTTCACACGGAAGAAGTCGCGAGCAGCAGCTTGATAGAGATATATATTTGAGTAGCTTTCGCCCGCGCAATAGTTAGCGTAGAAGTATTAAAAAAAAAACAAAAACAAGAAGTCTACGTGTTTTTCCAGATAATCCTCTACATCTATACCTAATTTGATCGAGATTCGTTCGGCAGTTTAGGCTACAAATTCTAACAAATATCTATCTATCTAAACTTTTGCATTTACAATGTTAGTTAATAAGATGTCATTAAAAGTAATGCTTGTGCATTCCCTAGTTTCAAAACTTAATCTTTTCATTGCGACCTAACTAATACTTATTGGTCATCAATTATACACATCTAATAAGATATCTAAAAAAATATCAACACAGTAAAGTCAAGCTTGTAGCCGTAGTAGTCATACGTCCGTGCCATGAATGGGTTGACTCTCGGATGTAGGAAACTCAAGGAATTCCGGAATCCAGTCATACCCGGTTTCATTCGCGTAGCTGAGGACACCGGTGCCCCATATTATAAGCGAAGCCAGTTATGCTGACCTTACTAGGAAAAAATGTTTGACCTTTTTTAAATTTAATTTTAACATCTGACAGTAATTTAAGCTTCCGGCTTACTTTATGACAATAACAAAATTAAAAGGAGCTTTTAAGAATCTTTTCAATTATTATTCGTTTATTTGAGGCGAGTACAGGAAGAAATATGTCAGTAGGAAGATATCGGGAAAAGGATTTGATTTATTCGACCTGATTATTTACAGAGATGAAGGAACCTTTACATCATCCTGTGCTGTTTTGTTTAAACACATTTTCGTTTTATTCAATATCACTTGTTAGTTTATAATTGACTACTATTTCGCACTTTAAAACATTTAGTACCGCATATTTTAAATTTTAGAATGTTATAATTACAAGGATGTTTATATTACTTTTTATATACTTTTTTTTTGAAACTGGCCACTTGTTCCAATCCGTTGCAATACGCACAGAGAATGATTCAAACTACTTCTTTCGAACGCGCGGTACGTGAACTACTCGTACAAATGATTCTAGCTGTAAATCTAAACGTCTATTGATAAAATGGTATTGATTCACCACGATAATGACAATTTGATAGTATTGTTTAGAACTTGTCTCTGATATTTTGCATGTTTTTAAATTACTCACCAAGTATCTTATAGTCAAATTAAATGTCGAAGTAATTCTTTTAAAGTTCAATCAACCTTTTCTTATTTAAAATAGAAATAAAACTAAGTGAAAACTAATAACAATAGGAAACCTTAAAAATATATCTAAAATTTTGTAAAATCTCTAATAGAAAATATTTGTGATTGAATAAAAAAGCTCTTCAAGTTGATGATTTTAAAAGGCCATTAACTTGCGACAGGAGC